TTTTTATTCATTTTATGATAGTCACAGAGAGAGAGAGAGAGGCAGAGACACAGGCAGAGGGAGAAGCAGGCTCCATGCACCGGGAGCCTGATGTGGGATTCGATCCCGGGTCTCCAGAATCGCGCCCTGGGCCAAAGGCAGGCGCCAAACCGCTGCGCCACCCAGGGATCCCTGAATTTGATTTTTTAATTGATGTAGGGTCACTCAAATTACTATTTATTTCAAATCATTTATCAGATTATTTTGTATTGTTAGTGTGTGTTTCATTTTTCAAAGAACTGGTCCATTTCATCTAAGTGGTCAAATATATATCCTTTCGATATCTATAGGTCTGTAATGGCATCTTTTGTTTCATTCCTGACAGTGGTGATTTTTGTATTTTCTCTTTTTCTTTGTCATTCTTGCTAGAGACTTGTCTGATTTATTGACTTTTATCCAAAGAATCCATTCTTTGTTTCATTGATTTTTCTATTTTCAGTTTTATTGGTTTCTGCTCTTAATTTACTCTCTCCTGCTTTATTTTGCTCTTCTTTTTCTTGATTCTGAAGATAGGAGCTTAGATTATTAACTGAGATTGTTTTTTCTTTTTTAATATTTGCATTTAGCTGGATGAATTTCCCCCAGCATTGCTTTGTGTCTCAGGAAATTTGACTTGTGTTCTTAGGTTCACTCACTTCGGTATACTGACTTGCTCTCACCCTTGGATTATTTAGGAGTCTGTTAAGTTTCTAAGTGTTTGGAGATTTTGCTATTTATCTTCCTGCTATTTCTACTTTGGTTTTGTTGTAGTCAGAGAACAGTTCTTTAATATTTTCAGACTTTTCTTAATGACTCAGACTGTGGTCTCCCTTGGTTTATGTTGTGTGGATGCTTGAAAAGAACACATATTTTGTTGTAATTCGGTGACATATTCAATTAGTGTCCGTTAGGGCTCGTTGGTAGATAATGTTGAATTCTTTATGTTTGCTGATGTTGTGTCTAGTTCTGTCAGTTGTTGGCAGAGAGGAGTGTTGATGATTCTAAAAATAATTATATTTTTGTTTATTTCTCCTTTTCTCTAAATTTTTGCTTCACATATTTTCTTGTTCTTGGTACAGACACGTTTAGAATTGTTAGGTCTTCTTGGTGGATTGACCCATTTATCATAATGTTCTCTCTGCTCTGAAATCTACATTCACTGATGTTAATAAAGCTACCCTTCCTTCCTTTTGGCTAATATCCCCATGATGTGTCACTTTCATTCTTTGAATTTCAGTCTGCCTATATTACATTTGAAGCCTGCTTCTTCTAAATAGTATATTGCTGAGTCATTTTGGTTTTGTGGGTCTTTTTGATCCACTCTGTTAGTCTCTGTCTTCTAATTGGTACATTCCGACTACTTACATTTGATATAATTATTAATATATTAAGGTTTAAGTCTGCCTTGTATTTTACAGTTCAGAAGTTTCCATTTGGTTCTTTTTTATGTTACATTTCTTTTCTTAGACTTTCTGTTTCTTTGCTGAGACCTTCTATCCATTTGTTTTACTGTGCCCATAATTGCTTATTGAACCAGTTTCATAATCACTGCTTTAAAATATACAGCAAATAATTTTAAAACATTTCCTTTCTTTTCAGTATTTGCACATACTGGCTCTCTTTTTACATTCTGCTTGACATCTTGGTTGTAGGTATGACAAGTGCTTTTTTTTTTTTTACTGGAACCTGAAAATACTGAGTATTATGTTACGAAACTCTGGATCTTACTTAAATCTTCTATTTTAGCCAGCTTTCTCTACCACCACCTCTGCAGGAGAAGGAATTCCTCATTACTGTTGGCAGGCGTAAGTTCCACGCCCTCACTAGGCCTTCTCTCACCTACCCCAGGTAGCAAAGCAAAGCTACCCCAGGGCACTACTTACTACCTGCTGGAGGGGAAGTTCATGCTTTTATGTGGCTTCTACTGACAGGGCAGGAGTTGAGAGGGAGGACCTTCCCTCATCTGGTGAGGGTGGGCTGTTAGGGCTTCCTCCAGTCTTTGCTGCCATTGGTGGGCATGGTAACAGTTTTTTCTGTGGTGGTTCAATGTTCTGACAGTTTGCTTTCTTGCTAGGCTGCATGATTTTTGCGAGGAGAACAGATTGTTGTTGTTTTCTCTATCCCATTGGCATTCTGGTTTGCTGATTTCCTTCATCTCCAGGTCTGGGATAGATAAGGCAAAAACAAACAGCAACAACAACAACAACAAAAAACCCCAGGAAACTCATCATTGTATTGTTCCTCCAAGTCTTTCACAATTCTTCCAGGCTTATGTTTATTTTATAGCTAATGTCCAGAGCTTTTAGTTAAATTAGCAGGACAGGGGAAAAGTAGGTTTACTTCATCTTCCTGAAAGCAGAAGTTTTCTGTCTAATAAAAAGAAAAGCAAACCTTCTGTCCGCCTCCATCCCAGTCTAGTTAGTGTCACTTTTCTCTGCTCCCTTTTAGAACCAAATTCTTTGATAGCATTTGTCTATACAGTTGACCCTCGAACAATGCAGGAATATTTTATTGAAACCTGGAAATTTTGAGTATTGTGTTATAAAACTTTGGATCTTATATAAACCTTCTGTTTTGGCTAGCTACCTCCAACACCACTCAGCAGGAGTGGGGGAAGTCCTAATCATTGTTGGCAGTAGGGGGAGTTCCTGCAGTCACAAGTCCCTGTGTTACTTTTGACTTCCCCGAAACTTAATTTACAGCCTCCTGTTGATTGGAAGCGTTACCCGTAACAGTCAAATAGCACCTATTTTTTTATGATAAAGGTATTACATGCTATACTCTTGCAGTAAAGTAAACTAGAGAAAAGAAAATGTTCTAAAACAGATTCCATCTGTAAGTGGATCTGTATAGTTCAGACCTGTGTTGTTCGAGGGTCACCCTTGCTTAGTGTCCCCCCTCTCTTCTCAGACTCTTAAACCTAGTATCTTAACTCTTCTACACCTCTGAAATCATCTTGTGAGGCATCGGTGATAAGTGGAGAATCAGTATTCATCAGAACTCTGGCAGAAGTCAAAACTGTACTTAGAAGAAAATCTGTAGCCTGTTACACTAAAAGAAAAAAAACCCCTTCATCCACATGAACTAATATGTGATTTAAGAAGTTAGAGAAAGGATCAACCTGAAGAAAGAGAGAAGAAGATGTTTAGATATTAGTAAAACAGAAAGCAAAGCTGTTAAGTTCTGGCAAGATGATTAAGAAAAACAAAAAGCATACATAAACAGTAATGTATATTAGAAAATGTTATAAACGTAATCATCTTTAAATAAAATTATATGTGAAATAAATTCTCAGAAAACTATATCCATGATCAGTTAATTCAAAAAGAAATAGAAAATCTGAATGGTCCTATAACCATTAAAAATGCTGATTGAGTGGTTAAAAATTCCTTCCCAAGGTGAAAAGACCCAGGTGGTTTTTCAGCTGATTTTGGACAAATGCTAATTCTAGTATTCAGTAAACTTTCACAAAACAAAAAAAAAAAAAGGTACATTATTTCACTTTTCTGAGGTTTGTGCTATGAGTTTGTTATCAAAATTAGTAAAGAGGGTGTGAAAGAATGAAATTTACAAGCCCATCTCTTTCATGAACATAGCCAAAAATCTAGCAATATATGAAACAGGTAGCATTACCCGGTTTGGCTTATTCTAGGAATACAAGGTTTAATCAACTTTAGAAATTTATCCAGAATATTTACACCTTAATAAAATTATGAATCACATGTCATATGGATTTAGAATAGTGAAGGTCTCAGTTAAATCTAAGGATGCTAGATGTCTGCTACGTGATAAGTACTGAAACTCAGATTTGAGTAGGAGGATATTGTGGGTCACAGTAGATGGACCCTGATTTAATGGAAGGGAGTCCAGGGGTCTGTCCGTGATGGCAAAATGTGAGTTAGGTTTTGGCTGGAACACACCTCAGGTAGAGGCAGTAATATGCGCTAAAGCATAGCTGTGGCATTTGTGAGGGGTAGGTGAGCTAGAGCATGACAAGTATGGGGACCTGGCAGGGGATGAGATGAGTTGTGTGCCATTTGTGAAAGGTGTCCTCCACTCTGCTGCTTGCTCAACATTGGAGCTTCTATCAGCCCGTGAGTCAGAATGCCAGTGAAGATCTTGAGAAATCTGTTTGCTTTTTTATGTTTAGTATCTTATCTTTAGAAATAACATGGATTAACTTGTTGGTACTCTTTCATCTATGTACCTAATTTGAGGTCAGGTACTGCCACTAAATATTTACTTTGATTTTTGTTACTAAAAATGTAGGAATCTGAATCTATGAAGCACTAATGTGTTAATTTTCCCTGTGTTATATCCCAGACTTTTTTTTTTTGATTTTTAAAGATTTTACTTATTTATTTGAGAGTGAACGCGAGAGAGAGCGTGAGTGGGGGAAGGCATAGGGAGAAGCAGACTCCCCACTGAGCAGGGAGCCCAATGTGGGGCTTGATCTCAGGACCCCAGGATCATGACCTGAGCTGCAGACAGATGCTCAACTGACTGATCCACCCAAGCATCCCTATCCCAAACTTTTAAAACCACTCATGACTAATCTCTTTTAACCAGCCTGGTGCTTGAGAACTTTCCAATGAAATATATGACAGAGGCCTGATTAATTTCCTTTGTTCTGCCATCTTTTTAAACCTTACGGGTGGTTAAAGCACATTTTTATATGTCTCTTCTTAAGAGGTATTTGTGATTTTGCTGGAGCTTTTCATTAAATTGTATTTTTTAAAGGAAAATCATTTAACTGAAATTTCATTGATTGCCAGGTTTTCTCTGTTTTTTTTCTTTTAATTCCATTGGTAGATACAAGGCAATTAGTTTGTTAGTAACTCTAAGTTTGTGAATCAGAATTTTAAACCTAGGTTAATTTAATGAATGCACTCACTTTTTTCTTAATGCATTCTTCTAACCCCTTAAAGATGCTTTTATTAATTTTCTAGATCGTATAATATATTTGGTTTTTTTAATTTAAGGTGTGACTGCACAGAAAAGTTACAGAACAAATTTGACTTTTTGCGCTCACAGTTAAATGATATTTCTTCGTTTAAGAATATCTACAGATATGCCTTTGATTTTGCAAGGGTAGGTGGAATTTCCATATTTTGTAATTTTAACCTTTATTTAATCTTGAAACCACACTTAGAAGAATTTTTCCTTATATTTTAGGATAAAGATCAGAGAAGCCTTGATATTGATACTGCTAAGTCTATGCTAGCTCTTCTGCTTGGAAGGACATGGCCATTGTTTTCAGTATTTTACCAGTACTTGGAGGTATGTATGTTTTGTTTTTTGAAAATATTAATCTGATTAATACTAAATTTTAATTTTAAAGCTCAATCTGATGGAAACTATACCTTTTAATTGAGGAGAAACAAAATAGATTTTTGGATCCTGTGCTTTTAAAAAAATCTACTTTAGTAAAAAGTTTCTGTTAAAATGTGTGTGTGTATGTGTGTGTGTATATATATATTTATATATATATATATATATATAGAGAGAGAGAGATTGTTATTTTTAGATGCAAGTTCATGTTCATTAATATAGTCTGTAGTGAGATACTTGGATTCTAGCCCTGCATCCCCCCCATAAAAAAAGCAAGTAACCTTCAAAAAATACATTTTAGCAAAGACACTCTTCATGAAAAATTAGTTTCTTGGGTTTTGGGCAGAAGAGAGTTGATGCTAGTGTACAAATATCAAACTTCTAAATCAGTTTTCTTTAATACAAAATCATAAGCTGAAATCTTCATAAGGGAACCAGTTGTAGTAATAAACTCTCCTTTTGACTTAGGTTCAATTTAAATAATTAGAATTAAAATATTTTATGTTCACAAATATGAGAATGGCTATAATCCTGTACTTGAATGTACTGATGAGTAAAGAATGTATACTGACTTCATGGAGAAAGTATTCTTTTAGAAAGTTTAACACAGCACCCACTGCTGGCAGTGGTTCTAAGATACTGTTCTTTTTTCATTTGCTTTTCTCTGACTTTCTGTCTGTTTTTGTGCCCTTTTGATTTTAGGGGTTTTCTTGAATTACAGATCCTTTTGCTTTTTGCTTTGAAAATGATACCTCATAAAGCTGATTATCCTAGCACATTCCTCGGAGTAACTTTGTTTGAAGCTTCTGATAAGAACCAGTGATATGGAAAGGACTTAAGTGAATGGGTTTCATGTACATTTATTTACATCTTTAAGCCTAATAAAGTGGGCGTAATGAAGGCTATTAAAACAGATATTTTTGATGGATGTTATCAACCTTCCTTGTTAGTAGTTTGGGACAAAAATAAATAGAACTGAGTGTAAAAATATTCACCTCTAAGGAAGCTGAGAGAACTAAATATTTTTTAACACTTGTTATGTGGAGGGTGTTCGACCAACAGTGTTTCTTAAAATCTTTATAATGCTGTTTCAAATTATGCATTAAACTCCTTCAGCAAATGAAAAAATGGGCTCCGTTGTTAAACAGTGTTCCCAGGGCCCCTCACGTAAGTAGAGAAGTGGGGTTTGAAAGCCGGTACTCTTTCCACAGCCTGCAAAGATGTCAACTTCAAAATGTGGTTAAACAGTAAATTTTATCGAAGAAATGATGTTCTGGGCAGCAGCATGAGGGAGCTAAATGTGTGTCATATACGTCGTAGATCTTGATTCCAGGGTTGTTTACATAGGTATATACATGGGTAGACATCAGATTTTACCCTTACTGGTAGTACCTTTGATGCTCCTGTTATTTCTCTAAAATGAAGGAAAGATAAAATGTAAATTGGATAATGTTAACATGTAAATGTCCCTGAGACTTTTCTTAGAAGCATCAGTAATTTAAACAGGAATTAATGTTTTAAGAAAGATTAAATTACAAAAATGTCATAATTAGACTTATTGAAGTCAAGTCCAAATAAATAATGCCTGTTCAATATTCAAAATATATCATTTTCTACAGCAATCAAAGTATCGTGTTATGAACAAAGATCAGTGGTACAACGTATTAGAATTCAGCAGAACTGTCCATGCCGACCTTAGTAACTATGATGAAGATGGTGCTTGTAAGTATGATACAATATTTTTCTATGAAAATAAACTTTATAGAACTATTATATGAGAATATACATTTGTGTAGTATTGCCATACAGGGTTTAAATTTCCTGGCAGTAACTCTTACTATTTAATCATGTGAAAAGTGTGGGGGAGGCAGGTGTAGGACCTAGACCAAGAGCTTAGATTGAGCATTATTATAAAATCTATGCTGATGGGGTGCCTGGGTGGCTCAGTCAGTGAAGCGTCTGATTCTTGATTTTGGCTCAAGTTATGATCTTGGGGTTGTCGATCAGCCCTGTGTTGGGTGCTGTGTTCGGAGGGGAGTCTGCTTGAGATTCTTTCTTCTCCCGCTGCTCACATGCTCTCCCACTAAGTTGAACACTCTCGCTCGGTCTCTCTCATATAAGTAATATCTACACTGATAAGTGAAATGTTATCATTTCCTCAGTAACATAAAAGCATTAAAGCTAAATTTAAATTATAATTTTTTGCGTGTAAAAGCTAAAATTCTGCTTTCTTGCCTTCCCTTCCATTTCCAGTGGAAGAAAAGTGCAGTCATGATTTAAAAGACAGGAAAGCAAACCATCAACTACAGTTGAAAAACCTTAAAGTTATCAGGGTGCCCATTCACAGTATAGCAAAAATGTCAAAATAACTTTCCTTAGAAATTACTGAGTAAATAGTTAATGAAAAATAATTTTTGGGGGCGCCTGGGTGGTGCAGTAGATTAGGCATCATACTCTTGGTTTCAGCTCAGGTTGTAATCTCAGGGTCATGGGATCAAGTTCTGCCTCTGGTTCCATGCTCAGCAGAGAATCTGCTTGGGATTCTCTCTCCCCCTTCCCCACCTCTTGCTCATGCTCTCTCTTGAGCACGTGCTTGCTCGCTCTCAAATAAATTATTTAAAAAAAAAAAAAAAGGATGCCTGGGTGGCTCAGTGGTTGAGCATCTCTGCTTTTGGCTCAGGTCGTGATCCCTGGGTGCTGGGATCAAGTCCTGCATCGGGCTCCCTGCAGGAAGCCTGCTTCTTCTACCTGTGTGTCTGCCTCTCTCTCTGTGTCTCTTGTGAATAAATAAATAACATCTAAATATATATATATGTAATTTTTCAGTTCAAGTTATCTTTCAGTGTTTTTCAATGGAAGGGGCAGAATGCCTTAAAACGGATTTTTGAAGTAATAAGTTAGGTGAGCCACATTTTCTAAAACAGTGAAAGAAATTTTCAGTTCCTACCATCAGTTTGGTTGAATGTGTTGTTTTAGTGTTGGGAAGGATTACGTGGTAAGATAATTCCTATAAACATAAATTGAAATGTGGACTTATTTAAAGAAGGGATAACTTTATTTCTCTCTGTGTATACTGTGATCTTTCCCTACAAAATGGTATACAATTTAATATTTTTAGAAACAATACCTTGCAACAGTAAGCTGGCAGCCCAGGGACTGTATATGGCCTGCAGATGTGTTTATTTGTGTATGTTTTGAGTCAACCTTTAAATTAAGAGTTTTTGCATAAAAATAAAGCTTCTAGATTTGTTTGAAAAATCAGAAAATCTGACAACTGTAACTGGCCTGTAAAGTTAGTGGGTAAAGCTGAGTAGTAACTTATGTTGGACTTGGTTTTCCATTTTGCTGACCCACAGTTTATGCCAACAAGTAGGTTGCTTTCCAGCTACCATTCATTCTTGGGCTTCCTGCTACTTTTCTTAGAGAAGTAGGTCTATGAAAAATTAAAAGAAAAAGACCACCAGAATGTTGTGTGTTTTAAGAAAAATAGAGCAAGCATATTTTTTTCTGACAATGAGCTTTCCTCTGTTTAAAAAAAAACTAGAGAGAGAACAGTGAGTTCATTAAAGCCTACCTGGCTTCCATAAGAAAATGAGTTTGGAACCTCCAAACATTTATACAAATATCTTTTATTAGAATAGTTCTTAGGTCGAGTCTTGTTAGGTACCTGCTTTATGTTTAGATTCATACTAGGTCCTGTTACCAGCCACCCTTTCAACAAGCTTATACACATCTTGGCATTTACTAAGTTAAACACTAAGGTAAACACTTTGCATGTTCCTTAACAATTAAATAACAGAAAGCTGTGAACATTGAGAAAAAGAGTTTAATCTTGACTTAGTTATTGGAGAGTTCATCCAACACTTGAACCTTGGAAAGGAAGTTGTTGCAAATATCATGGTGGGAAGTGCTTTATGTCAGAAAAGAAAATGTCTAGGGGAGTGAGCCCTGGTAAGCAGAACAGCAGAACTCACGCGACAGCCAAGTGTCTGTCCTCATTGCTGGTATGGAGCTCGTGGAGAAGGATGAGTTCACTGAATTCTAACAAAAATTGTTTCTTTATTTCTAGGGCCTGTTCTTCTCGATGAATTTGTTGAGTGGCAAAAAATCCGTCAAACATCATAGCAAGAACTAAATGTGAAGAAAATGCAAACCTTTTTGCACTCACGTGTATACAGGCTAAGAAGACAAAAAAATCCAAAGGGTGCATTTTCATTCATATGAAAGACTTCACATAGTACTTTTTTTTCCTTTTTTTTAAAGGAAGTTTTCTTGTTACATGTGATGGGCATTGAGCCACACCTCTTCTGAGACTGAATATTGAAGCTTTTGTTTTGAGTTATGTTTATAACATTTATTTCAGAACAATAAAGATTCAGATTTGTGACAAAGGCCTTAAAGTGAAGATGTCCCTTCGGTGTCAGAGTGGTATTTATTTTTGTAGATTTTAATCCTTGAATTTTAGAGGATGTTTCTCACCATGAATTTGGAATTTTAAAGATTTTAAACAATCTTAATATTTGGCAATGCAGTCCACTGATAGTATGGCTCATTATAATCATCTGTGCACAGTTAGGAAGAACATTGGCCTTGGCTTCTGGGATAATGATTTTCTGATACAGGTAATAAAAAATATTTCTAGATATTGAGAGTTTTCTGGCTCTCAGCTTTTGGTTTTCTGTGAAATCTCCCATGGTCTTACACACATACTTAATCTGAAAAGTTGAGAATTGGAACAATTATGTCCTGGTATTTTGTTTCCTAACCATTAAATGGTATTGTCAGTAAGCGTTCATCAGCATTGCATGTGTATTCTTAATGTGGCTCTCAAGTTTTCTGGATTGTGTCAGGCAGGTGCAGTTTCATTTCTGTTTGAAAGAGCAAGGTTCATGTATTAATGGTCTCAAAATTAGGCTGATGAGAGACTAAAGAGCAATATTGAAGTTGTATGATCATCATTATTGTCATTACTAGTGGCATATATATGATCTCTTTAACTGTCATTTTGTGATATGGAGAGTTTTGTTGAGGGACCTTTTTTGGTCTTAAAAAGAGAACCTTATCTGTGATGTTGAATTCAGTTGAGAGACATATAGGAAGAGAAGAAATAAAGTAAGGTGTCTTGAGAGAGCTCTGGGTATAATTGTGCACAACTCAAAGGTGCCATTCAAATGGGTACAGTCATGGTATTGCTCATTATCACAATTTTCTACATGTTGGCAGTAAAGTATTTTGAGGAAAAGACAGCTTTTTCTAATTCATGTAAAAGGCATCTTTTGGGTGAGGAGCAGGGCTGTTTGGACATTGCTTTTCGAACCATCCAGTATCCTAGTCATGTGAAAACTGTTCAGATTGACAGTCCAGCCACAACCTCACTAGCATTGCTAACTTCTGTATATGAGTGGAAAGAACTAAATAGATTATCTTTCCACAATAAAGACATTTCTCTTGGGATTTAAGGTAAAGGTTGATTTTTGAATGGTGAATTTATTGAGTGACTTTCAGTATTGACTACATAAGAGAAAAGCATTTTAAAGATTTTTATGGGTTTCATTAATGAGCTGGGAAAAAGTAATTACTGTTTTACTTGCCTTTTAATGAAATCACTTTGTAATAAAACATATATAACTGCAAAAACTTGTTTTTCCTAAATATCATCAGGATAATTTTCCTGTAATGATCCTTCTAAATATTAGAATCACTGAATTATTAGAACAAAGCATGTACTGACACTGCTACAGTTTAACATCACAAATGATGTTTCAGTATTAAATTTATAAGTACAGTGTTTTGATTTTTAGACATTTGAATCTTCTAATGTAATTGACTCTCCCTCCAAGGCACAGCTTCTAAACTTAAAGAATGTTGCCCACTTTTAATTTCAAAACCTGAAATTTAAGTGAAATCTTACGAGTTTTCACTGAAGTGATAGTAATGTTCTTGTCATCTTCATTATTGAGGTAAAAAAAGGAAACTCAGAATTTACAGATGACTTTAAAAAAAAGTAAAACCACCTGTTTACTTTGTACTTATCCATAGTATTTAGGCTTTTGGAATCCGAAAATTAAAAGGAAACTTTGCCTTCAAAGTCAGCAGCCCAGTCCCACCTGGACCACACTTGCTTCACTCTCTTGTTCCTTCTGCTTCTCTCACCTCATAAGAATCAGAACATTTGCTTACTTTGGAGGTAGATTTACTCTGCCTAATTCATCAGTCAGGATGTGGGCTTGTTCCTTATCTTTCATTTCTTGATTTGTATTTGAACAGCATTTACTGTATTGGGAAAATTATGATAAGTGGTTAAGTGGTGTAAGCAGAGAGGACAATAATGAGAAATTCCCAACTGCCGTGGCTCTTTTTATAAGTTAGCTTCAAGTGCCTTCCCAGGAATCCTGTTGTACAACTTTCTGAATTATTTTCTTTGTATGGGATGAAATACTCACTGGTGCTAGATGTTGGAAATGACTTTCTGGAATAGTGTGCCAATGTCACAGTATTGGAAGGACGTAGAGCAGGTATGGGTTCGCCGCAGCTAGAGGATGCAAGCTTATCCCCTCACCCCTTGGGGCCAGTCATCGTCGACAGGGCCTGGTGTCTGCAGGAAATTGCTGGGGAGTCAAATCACACAGTGTTGTCTCTAAGCAGCGACCGTGCTTTTACCTGAGTGGGAGATGCAAAATGGTGCTTTGTCATGTGCTGATCAGCATTATTATTTTCTGTGCTCTAAGGATTCCTTGTTTTTTAAATGTTGCCAGTAAAATTCTCAACAGAATATATTGGTGACAGTAACAGTGTTTTTATGTATAATGCAATGGTTTTGTGGATTTGGGTTTTCAAACTCTGAAGCCCTGTACATGAGTGTTTCTTCAGCTGAAGTGTGAGAGCCTTTTGTGGGGGGTGAGATTGACCCTGAGGACTGTCTCTTAAAACAAATGCCTTTCATCTAGAAAACCAAAAATTACCTTTAACAATATAGAACGCCATCACTTTGCAGGGAGGGGAGGAGCGAGAGTAGAATTTTAAGGTAATTAGGATTTTTAAGGCAGACACCTTAGAGTAGCTTAGATTCAGAACATACGTGTTTGTGTTGAAACATTTCACTTTGAACCAAGTGTTCCTTCAACAAAACATGTCCTTTCTGTCTGATGGCTACTGTGAACTAGGGGCTTATTGAAATATATTTTGTGGTCAATTTGAGAAGCAGGGTAGTAAGAATGCTGATTTAATGTGTTTTACTGCTTTCTTGAAGAAGTGTACTTAAAACCGTGATAATTCATAGTTTGATAAAGTTTGGTTTGAGCTTAGGAAGGCTCCTGTTGCCTGAAGTTTTGTGGCACATCTCCTGTTTATCAGACAACTAAACTGTCAAATAACTTTGGGATATTTTAATACAAAATTTAAATGCATTTTTTTGTTAAACTGAGAGAGAAGGCACAGTAATCTCTTTCCTAATCTTCCCCCTAAAGAATTCCTGAGGAACTGTTACTTCGTGAATCACACTGGAAGTCATTACAAGAAAACATTCAACGAAGAGTTCATTTTACCTTCAGGAAAGAAAAACAGCAAAACCTCATTAAATTTCCTCACTAGGAAACGCTAGTCTGGATTACTAAATATCTGTATCATATCATTTTTCAGGAATGTAATTTTATTAGTTTCACAAATGATTTGTAACAACCAGTGGAAGAGATTACTTAAGACCTGGTCTTTCTTGTTGACAATCCCCATTACCATGAGTCTACGGCGGAGGCCCCAGATAGCAGTGGCCTTGTACGGTGAATTCATTGAGATTAAAGATCATGGAAAGATGAAGTTCAGCCCCCGAGCTCAAGCAAGTTGTCACTAATTCACTGTTTAGTTACACAGATGTTTCTAGTGGACTTTTCTTTCAGTGAAACAAATTTAGAGCTTTTAACAATTTATTTACCTTTCCTCAAACACCATTCTTAATAAAGAATGGTGTTTCTTTGTTTTGTCCACTGTACAGGCCTCTGAATCCTGCGCAGTTAGTACTTCCATGTTCCTTTCATAGACCAGTTGTTACTGTTTGGACCATTTTGTCTTTATTTTGTGTGCTTTGTAACTTATTAGGGCCTTTTATAATATGGCTAATTTTTGCATGAGTTCTATCTTGCCATGTGTTAAATATTCTTTAAAATATATAATGAGGTAAGACTTCACTATGAGTATAGAATCTCATGTTACTGTGCCAATTTTACTGGAGCTTTTTCATATTTTATGGACCTATGGTCCATAGATGGGTTAGAGTAAAATGTTTTTATTATAAATTTGTTAGTTTACTCCCAAATTCTGTTCTTTTGAGGAAGTTTTATCTTTGTTTTGGCTTTCTCTGCTTTAAAATATTAATGAAAATTATATGGATTATTTCAAGTATTAAGTTAAAATTGTGGATATTATGAAATAACCAAATACCATACTTGGAAGCTAAAACAGTAAGCAAAATGGAGAAAGCCAGATTTACCTGAAACTCCATTGGGGGGTGTGTTTGTGACGTGGGTATTACTCTATGTGTGTGAACTGTTACCCATAATTTATTCTTCCATGTAGAAAACAGATTGTGCATAGAGAATTTTGCATTCATGTGTGATTTTCTTGATATTTGAGCAAAAAACAATATGTTATAATAGTTTTTTAAAGCAAGTTTTCTGTCTTGTATAAATTGAAATTTTGGGGGGATTTCTTGTTTTATTCTACCATTTGCTTTTATAATGAGGCTTATTCATATTCCTCTGGGACTGAATTTTTCAGTAAATCCCAAACATCTGTATGCCAGCAAGTGTTCTAGGCGTGTGTGTGTGTGTGTGTACTTTATCATATGATGACAAGGTAATTAATAAAGGAAGGGGTTCTGGAGAGTGTATGAGTATAGGAGCACTATTTTAAACAGTATATACAGGCAGAGTGACACTGAACAGGGATCTGAAGAAGTGAACAGTTGAACCATTCATGTGTTTGGGGAAGAGCTTACCAAGCAGAAGGAATATGACATGTCAACCCTGAGCTGGTAGTGTGCTTAGTGTTTTCAAGAAATAACAAGGAGATCACTGATTGTGGAGAGCCAAGAAGAGAGGAGTGGCCAGAATTAGCAGGTGAGGTAAGAGAGATGGAGGTATAATGATCACAGAGGGCATTGTAGGCCTCTTTAAGGACAGGCTTTCATAGAGTGAGGTGGGAAGCAGGGTTCTGATCAAAGCAAGGATGGAAGTCGTATTAGGTGGGCGGCTAATACAGTAATCCAGATGAAAAATGACAGTTTGGATGAGGCCAAGGGCAATGGAAATGATAAATTTGGAATACGTTTTGATAGTACAGCAAATACATGCAGATAGATTGGATGAGTGTGAGAAGAATCAGGAAAGACTCAAAGATTTTGGCTTGA